GCTCAGAAGAGTGCCTGCACATTATGGGGTCCCGCTCACTTGGCTATTCTTATTCATTCCAGAGTAGAAAAAACACAGGCTACTTCAAAGACTATTATTTACACGTCAAAAGCACTGCTGAGTAAGCTGACTACTTCAGGGAATAGAGAGCTCTCTATGATGCTTTAGAAGATGTCTAGGCGAATCCAGCAGCTACACCAGGAGAGAGAAATCAAGAAAATTTCCAGGTTCTGATGCAAAGAACAGGTAAGTTATTTATGCCAACTGCCACCTGCCAGTCCAGCAAAGCGTGCTCTCAAATACTTTGGCATAAATGTGACAAGTGCAGATCCCATAATGACCAGCTGGGAGTTCTGGAACCACGTGCAGCTGGAGGTACATATTGAATCCTGAGCCCAGGTCTCAAGTTACAACAGCAAATTAGGACCCCTCTTCAGACCACATAGAAGAACTCGCTCCGTTCTTTACCATACTTATGGTTTCCTCCCTAATGCTTTTCCTTCGGCTTCTTAAAATCACTTCAATCTTATCAGAAGGAAATCTTGAGCACATTCTCAATTTAAGGAGAGTTTTAGCTACCAGTTTCTAATTTGTTCCATGCTGTAGAGAACTTTTAGACAACGTACATCAGTCCTTTCAGATTAGACCGTCCCTCTCCGAATCTCAGAGCAGTTTCTCCTGCGTTAATCAGATATTGCAATTTGTTGCCTTTTTCATCATTGGGAAATTGATCAGATTGATCTATAAAGCCCGCTTCTTCCTTGGCCCGAAGTACACGTTCCTCAAACAAGCAAAAATCATTTCTGTCTATAGTTTATCATAGAATTTATAGACCCATTTAGGAACCAAGTACTTTACATATTGTGTCCCCAGAATAACTAAGCATTAATGATGATAATAAATAGGTCAATAAGAAGGAAATTGGAGGAGGCAGTATTTCAGATAGACTTGCTACAGTTTGTCTATTGGAGCAAACAGCTATCGGAAAGCCCTGATGAACTACCAGTCTGGGGCAAATTAAAAAAAAAAAAGGTTTAGTGTATACATGCAATAGTCAGCTGAAAATATTTCACTAAGCTCAATCCAATTTTCTATGTGAAATCTAAGCAATTTTTCAAGAAGTGAAGTTTCTTTCCTTTTATTAAACAGTTGTACTAAAGAAATTTGTTGACTGTCTCCTCCCACTAGAAATTAAGCTCTGTGAGAATAGGGACTTTGTTTTGCTGTTGTCCTGGTGCATGGAACTGTATCTGGCATGTTAGAATGCTTAATGAATATTTACTTGATACATGAGTGGATGAATCTGAAGCAAGTAGACAAATAGATGCACTTTTCTCTGTTTTCTGTAGAAAACAGGGTGTTTCTATCATTTTTGATCAGGTACATACACATAATATATGATATCAAGAATCCAATGGGTTTTATGGGGATCTCACACTTTCCTTGGGATGAGTCTTCCAGAATCTGCAAGATTGTGGAAAGACTCTTCTGAAAACCTCAGCAGGCTGTCACTAGCTCTACAAGATATTCATGTAGCCCGCACAACAGTGGGTATGAAAATAGTTAAAAAGTAAAACCTCAGCAGTCAGCCCAGGGGGCTGCTATATACTGCTACACAGGAAGTAGCACGGCTTCCTGACTTCTGCACACGAGGGGAGCTGTTTTTAGGTTGCACTCAATCTGGAAGACAGAAGCAAGAAGAGATCAAACCTGTCTCTTCCCACTGTAGTGTGGCAGAAACAGAGAGAAAAGGAGCCAAGTGGGAGTGCTACACAAAGGCAAATTGTTGCCAAATATAATAAATATCTGAAGGACATTAAAGCAGAGCAGCCGTAGTTGAACACAAATCATGATGAAAACACATTCGCCACTGGAGACGAAGAACGCTATATCATCAGCATTTCATGATAAAGAATAGTTAGGGCTACCTGCCATCCGCCAATACGTGAAATGTGGACAGAATTGGCCGGAAGCCCCTTCCGTGCACTGTGGAAGTGCAGTGCCCACCCCCAGATTGGTTCACTTTCCCAAGGGGGCTGTGTTGACACAGCTCTTTGATGCAAACATAAACGCTGCCCTTCCCTGAGTTCACACACACACACCTTACGCAGTATTTTTGTGTGGGTGACAGAGTGGAGAGGGCAGTCACACGGCACATGGCACAGTAAGCAATTCAGAATCTGTTCTTAAAAGACCTTCAGCTTGTCCCTCCTGCAGACAGGCCGCTTCACTCCCCCCACAGCAGCCTTGCACCTGCTCACTTCTCCTCGCTTCCCTCCGCTCCTTCCTCTTCTTTCCCCGCTCTCTGCAGCAAACCTAGTCCATCTTATTTTCTCACGTGGAGCAGCGTCACCCGTATTTATGTAGCTGGACTTTCGCCCTCAAAGTCTCACCTTTTATTCTTAAAGTGTCTCCTTAAACATTAGTTTTCTCCTTAAGAACGCTTTTAGTGACAGCCATCCTGGTAGCATTTTTACTCCACAAGGAAAGAAAGGCACCATCCCCAGGCAAGCCTCTACGAAAAGAGAGCAGCTTGAGACACGGAGGAAGAGGGTTATCACGCACAGTGGAAGAGAAATCTGGACGAGGCCGGAACAGCGCAGCTTCTTGAGCCACGACTCGCTGAGGGGTGGGGAGTTAAACTAGAGCTGACAGCGCACTTGCTTACCATTTGCATCTGTATACCCATACTTTAAATAACTATCATAAACCCATCCTAATTTCATTCTGTGGTTAGGGAACAGGACGTTCTCAGTAAACTCTTTTGTTGCCTTTGTAAAGCTTCCAGCTGAAGAACTCCTTGAGACATTGTGGATTGATTGAACTAGGTGAGCCATAACTGACAATTTCAGTCAAATCCTGGTTCTCAGTAAGCAGAACTTCTAGAGGAAGAGGCTTACTCTTTACTCCTACATGAGTGTGCTATGTGATACACAAAATGTTGTCCATCACGCAGCAAAAAAAGTTTTGTTAAGAAATACGATTTTTTAAAAAATTGTACGCTCTACAAAGGACCAAATCCTACAATCTAGAGTAGAGGTTCTCAAACTGTGGCCCGTAGACCAGCAGCATCAGTATCACCTGGGAACCTGCTAGAAATGCAAGTTCTCAGGCCCTGTCCCAGACCTCCTGAGTCAGAAACTCTAGGTGTAGAGTCTGTGATCTGTGTGTTAACAAGCCCTCAGCTGATGTTGGTGCCCACTCAAGTCTGAGGGCCACTGCTCTGGCGTCATCATGCCTCCAGAGCCTCTCAATGGTCCATTCTCAATGTTTTCCAAATGCCAGTGCAATCCCTGAGTTATGACTCTTTTCATCACCAGGTGCTTAGATTCACAAAAATCCGTGGCCCGGTCTTCAGGTGACACAGCTTCCCTGCTGGCTGCTCACAGCTCTCCACCAGGACGCCTGCTCCCTGCTCTGCACTCCTGGTCCTTCTGCTGGTGTGTTGGTCACTCCGTGCTCTGCAGGGTGGACGGCTTAGCCTCCACTGCTCTCCTCACTCCCTGTCCAGAGCTCTCTCATCAATTCCTGGAGCCTCATAGGTCCCAAGGGAAAGCCTCCATGTTCCTGCCCTGGACCTACCAGTGGTCACAGTGCTTCCCCCAGGGCCACAGCTCTCAACATAAGCTGCAGGCTCTCACCTCCTGAGCTCTTATTCACAGCAGAGCTGGCCTCCACTCCCACAGAGCAGGCGTGGCTACCTTGTCTCCTATTAGAGCAACTTACCCACCTCTCCTTTGGGGCTTAACTTCCACTTTGAGTTCCACAAAAGCCGGTGGTTCTTAAACATGAGCATGCCGTCAGGCTCACCGGAGGGCTTATCAAAGCACAGAGTGCTGGGCCCCACCTCCAGAGTTTAGGATTCAGTTGCTCTTGCAGGTAGCCCAAGAATTTGCATTTCTAACAAGCTCCTGGTTGAAGTCGATGCTGTTGTCCAGGGACCATATTTTGAGAACCACTGTTGAAAGCCGACATCGCTGAACTTATTTGCAGATGAGCACCTAAAAAAAAGATCAACCTAGATCTGCCCCTTCCCCAAATGACTACTCCCTGATGTCTCCCAAGAAATGCAAAGTATCTATCAATTAAGTCAATATATTTGTTTGTCTTCATTGGTAATTAAATTCCACTTACTTCAAAAAAAGTTTGAGGTGAGTTAATTCTTAGCCATTAGCAGATATAATCAATTCACCTAGTGCATTCAGAGACGTGCTTTTCCTCCCAGGAGAAATAATGTTCTCTGTTGCTCCTAAAATCTGCTGGCCATGGCCCTGACTCTGTTTCTCTTAAGCTAAGGTGGACATGGGGTGGGAGTGGGGAATCAGAGTTGATGAACTTTGCTGTCTCCAAGCAGGACAACAGAAGTGGTGAAATAGGAGAGCAGAATCTTGGCTTTGAAAAGAAAGTGGGACATGACACTAATAATCTCACCAATGACCAAAACAATTAAACCGCCAGTCTTAAAAAGGAGCCCTCACTTTCCCATTCTCCCCCACCCCTTCCACCAAGCTGAACCCAGAAATAGAACACAGCTCACTTCTCAGGGCTATTCCCTCCACCTCATCTCCAGAGACCACATCTGCTGCTCCCAGAACAAGCCCCTGTTTTCACAGCTGCCCAATTTGCTGATGAAATCCTGATCTGGAGAGTGGAGTTGAAGCCAGAGGAGAGAGAGATGCCAATAGGGCAAAAGCCTCATTCCAGATTTCAAATGTCATTCTGCAGCCCTCAAAATGCCAAATGCCGCCTGCTAGCTGCAGCCAGGTCCCTGGTCCACGGCCCACATCAGAGGCCTGCAGAGCCACAGAGGGGGAAGGGCATGGCTGATGGAAAATACCTGGTGGCTTGTGATTTACCTTTCCTGAGTTCGCTGCTCCACTTGGGAGTGGGGGCTCTAAGGAAGACTGTTTTGGGGGGCCCAAGGTATAAGTTCATGCACCACTTGCTAGCTCCTCCCCATGAAAGCAGAAAGTCACCATCCAACCCACCCCAGACCCAGACTAGCCTCACCCTGTTGATTCAAGTGCCCAAGGTCCTGGGGGAGCAATATTCAAATACTTCTGCTAACTGCCTTTTGCATCTCACAGTGGTTCCCCAGGAGCATCAAATATGAGAAGTGAAACTGAGCATGTCACCCCTTCAGTGAGGGGAGAGGAAGAACCCCGAAGGCCCTTTTTATTGGGCCTGTTATTTTTCTGTTGATCACACACACGCCCTCGCCATGAAGGGTTTCACGGCTCTCTTCCTCGTCTGGACTCTACTGTCTCCTGACAGCGGTGGTGGGGAAGCCTGGCCCACACACACAGCCTGCAGGGATGGGAGCTTGGAAGTGCTCTACCAGAGTTGTGGTAAGGACTTTCAAAACATCCGTTTGTGTTTATGGGGAAATTAAGGCCCACGTGTGAGCTGCTTTAGCGCTTTGTTGAGGCAGGTGAAGGGTGAGGGGCCAGCGGCCAGCAGCCGAACACTTTCTCCACTTACAGCAGGTCTGTGAGGGGCATTGGGAGCCCTTGGGAGAAAGAGGGGTGGGTGGGAGAGAACCTGAAGAGACCAACAAAGAGGACAAGAAAAAGACGTTGAGAGTCTAAAATAGCGACTCACTAATACCACAGAGCCGGGAAAAAAAACAAAATGACCAATGAGTTTACCAAATCATGAAACCTCACCAGTTCACAATTAGGAAAAGAGGCTTCCAATAGCACCCTACCTCCAGCTGTATACCTGGGATGCCTTTCCAGCTTACTTAGTGTGCAAGCTGAGTGGAAAGTTCCCTTATGCTAAAAGAGAAGATTCCTGTCCTTCTTATGACACTCCTAGAGCTTCTGTCATAGCAGCATTGCTCATTAATTCAGCAAATGCTTATCTTGCAGCTGTCAATGCCAGTTTCCTCTAGTGCTAGACACAACAAAAGGGAATGAGCCATTGTCATCAGCCCAATGGGGCAAACAGCTGCACCAACAGAGGCTGCAATCCAATGAATAGAATGCAGCGAATGGGCGTAATCAGTGTCTGAACCAACCCTTAGGGGTGTATATTAGTCTCCTAGGGCTGTCATAACAGCACATCACAAATTGGGTGGCTTAAACAACAGGCATTTGTTTTCTCACAGTTCTGGAGGCTGGAAGTCCAAGATCAAGGTGTTGGCAGGGTTGATTTCTCCTGAGGCTTCTCTCCTTGGCTTGTAGATGGCTGTCTTCTTCTTCTGTCTTCACATGGTCTTTCCTCTGTGCCCACACATTCCTAGTCTGTCTCTCTCTCTTCTTAGAAGGACACCAGTCATATTGGATTAGGCCCCCCACATTTAACCCTAATTGCCTCTCTAAACACCCTATATCCAAATACAGTCATATTCTAAGGTACTGAGCATTAGGACTTCAACGTATGAATTTTGGGGAGACACAATTCAGTCCATAAAGGGGACCTGAATGGGGAGAAATGAGCCCAGCCTCAGGATCACATCTTGAATGAAGATTAGAGGGACTGGCTCATGAAAAGTCATGACATTGTGAAATACGACACTTTGGAGGTAAACGGGGCAAAATACTGTTTGGACTGAAGGAGGTAGAAAGGAGATGCTCATTAAGCATCTAAGTTGGCCCCACTATAAGCTGGGGAGTAGTGGAGATGTTGCTCTTGAGCAGATAGCTGATCCCTACGGCAGCCAGAGCTGCCTCAGAGAGGTCCAGACGGTCAGGCTGGTCTCCAGGGCCATTTGTCCCACTTGACTTTACTCCTTTAAAAAGAAGAAACAGGGAACATTGAAGTGCCCACACACAAAAAAAATTTTAATGCAAATAAGAGTGAGTAGCTGGAAGCTGGAGGTATTGATCTCGTTATTCTTGCTCTCCCCATGGGGATGGAATGCTTTCTGCTGCATCTATTCATTTTAGGTGTAGGATGAGAAGCAAGACTTGAGATGAATGGACTGCTCAGGATTTGTTTTTCCAGTTTATCATCCCACAAAAGGTTGCCATGGTGGGTCCATCTCCCTGACCAGCCTGCAGCCAAGCCTGGCACAGCCTTTCAGGTCGCTGCCAGGAGAGGCAAGAGGAGTGGATGCATCAGGAAAAAACCAAGAGCATATCACCCGCCTCTGGGCATAACTCCTCCCTCTGAATGGGTAGCTGTTCTGTGGAGTCAATCAATGTCGGGCACAAGCCCTTCCCTGGGCACTAGGAAAATAGGAATGGAGGGGACGCAGTTCTCGTCCAAGAGCAGTGGGAGGATCAGACAATTAAACAACAGGGTAAATGTTCTGTGTGAAGGCTGAAATGGAGACATATGTCATGCACTAGGAGACGTGGTGGTTGGAGAGAGTGAGGTTGGGGACAAAATCTGTCAGAGAAAGGATCATCAAGCTTGAGTTCAACCTTAAAAAATGATAAAAATAGTAATTACAACATCTCATGTTCATGGAAGGTTTATATGTGCAGGCTCCATGCTAAATGCTTTCTCTGCATTATTCTTATTTTACAGATGTGTAAACTGAGGGTTAGAGGTGTTAGCTAACTGTTCCAAGGCCACACAGGCAATAGTGGCAAAATTACATCCCCAGTGGCCCAGAGAAGGTGTTGAGTAAATATTTGTGGAATTAAAATGAATTGACCCCAGGCCTGCCTGACTCCAGAGTCTATGCTGTTTTTCTCCTGCTGTCCAGAGTTTCGTTGGATGGCAAGTGGACTAGAGGTGGGAGTGGGAAGGAGAACTTTGGCAGAGAGAACAGCCTGTGAAGGCAGGGAGACGTGGCCAGGCACAGAGTTCAGGGAGCTGCGAAAGGCTGGAACACAAGGGGGGGATGAGAGAGGAGGTGGGAAATGGGAGCAGAGCCCCAGTGTGATGATGAATCCTATGTGTCAACTTGACTGGGCCACAGGATGCCCAGAGAGCTGGTTAAACATCATTTCTGGTGTGTCTGTGAGCGTGTTTCTGGAGGAGATTAGCATTGGAACTGGTAGACTGAGTAAAGCAGATCACCCTCACCAATGAGGACGGGCATCATCCAATTGGTTGAGAGCTTGAATAGAACAAAAAGGTGAAGGAAGGTTGAATTCATTCTCCGCCTGACTGCTGAGCTGGGATATTGATCTTCTGCTCATAGCGATCCTGGTTCTCAGGCCTTCTACATTATTGGCTGTCTGGCTCTCAGCCTTCCTAGGTCTCCAGCTTGCAGACAACAGAGCAGGGACTTCTCAGCCTCCACAATTGCGTGAGCCTATACCTTATAATAAATCTCTTTCTAGATTATATATCTGTGTATGTATGTATATCTATATATATAAATGTGTACATATAGATACACACAGATATGTATATTTCGCTGTTTCTCTGGAGAACCCTGACTAATATACCAGGAGACCTAGACAAGGTTGAGCTGCATCCTTTTGGCAATGAGGAGGATGCATTTTGGAAAGATCCCTCAGGTAATGGGTAGGAGCATGGATATTAGATTGAAAGCTGTTTGTGGCTAGAGGCAGGATTTGTATCCTGTAGGAACAGTAATAAGAAAAAAAAAAAGGTGAGAGCCTGAAACAGCATGATTTCAACAGCCTTAATGTCAGTTGGAATCTTTGGTACACTTTGTCGTCAGCGTGAAGGAAAGTAGTGTCCTGGGAGCTTCTCCAGGGATGGGCCCTGCCTCATCTCTTGAGAGCTTTTGAGCTATCCAGGGCCGAATGGCTGCATGCCCCTCCCCAGATGGAGAGGGTCCCCCTTCAGCTGCTGGATTCACAGTGGGGCAGCCCCACAAGGCCTTCACATCGATAACAGTGCAAAGGCTACATGTTGTAATGCTCCACCCAGCCCTGGTGTTTAGACATCTTAGTGCATGTCAGGGGCTTCTAGAATCCCAATATGCATGCTGCTGTGGGAAGGTCGGCTGACAAAAATATAAGGATCCATTGTTTTCTGGGTTTAGTGCCTCATTTTCCCCATCTCTTTTCATTTTATCATTTTAGTTGCGGGGAGAGGAGGAGATCCTAGGCCAGAAGCTGTTCTGAATAATACAAAAATCCTTGAAGGGAAAGAAGGAAACTCTTAAGCAGTCACCGGGCTCTGAATACTGACCAGGAAGTAAGCAACATTTTCTGAAAAAGCAGTCCTGCTCTGTCCAGTTGTTAGTACTACAGCAAGGAAGAGAGCAACAGTTTTTACAAAGGCAAAAGGGGGAACAAAAGCAGTCATGGCCTTTCTTGTGTTAAATCATAAGATAATTCCCAGGGCTAGAAAAAGCCCAGGGACCCCACCCCACGCACATGCCACAAATGTCAACCAATGTATTTGTTTATCTGCTGCCTCTACTGCACAAAGACACTACGGGATATGTATGCTGGGAAGATGAACTTGGTAGTGGGAGAAGCAGCGCGAGGGGAGGGAAGGGAAGGGGGATAATAAAGCCAGGGAGGTCAGGACACATACAACAGATGAGCAGTGTGAAGGACAAGAGGTTGGGGTCTGGAGTCAGCAAACCTCATCCCAACCCTTGAGCAATACTCTCTAAGTCTCCTGTTCTTGGTTGGAACGTGGGTGTGTGAGTTTCTTATGGCTGCTGTAACAAGCTACCACTTGGTGGCTTAAAAGAACACTTATTCTTTTAGAGTTCTGGAGGTCAGAAGTCTAAAGTCAGTTTCACTTGGTCAAAGGCCACACTCTGGTGGAAACTCCAGGGGATGATCTTTCCTTGCCTCTTCGGCTGCTACAGCTGCATTCCTTGCATTCTTTGGCATCTTGCCCCTTCCACCATCTTCAAAGCCAGCAGCATAGCATCTCCTTTCTTCTGCGTCAAATCTCCCTCTGCCTCCCTCTTACGAGGACACTTGTGATAAGGATAATCTCACTGTCCCAAGATCCTTAACTTAATCACATCTGCGAAGTCTCTTTTGCTATATAAGGTGACATTCACAGGTTCCGGGGATTAGGACATGGGTATCTTCGGGAGTCATTATTCCACCCACTAAAATAAGGGTAATAATCTTAGCTACCTCTCGGGGCTGTGTGAGGATTAGGTGAAAAGGACCGCATGAAAAGTGCTTCACGCATGCTACATGCCCGATAAATCTTTTCTGCTGATGACTTGTAAGATATTTTACAGTCACTAGAGGTATGTCTGACTATGAGCTGTCTTAAAACCAAATCAAACAAGGAAATTACATTGTTTGCAAAGTAGAACCAGTTTTTAAGGAAATGTTCAGCTTTTCCTGGGGCGAGCTGTGAGAGGCATTTCTCCCTGGAGTTGATGGCATCCTGGACAGCATCTCTATATGAGAGGCCGCAGTGTCTCACACCCTCTGTTTCTCACAGTGCCCCTCGGTGTGGACCGATGGCTCATCACCAAAATGCAACTCAGGATTGA